CTGTTTCAGTAGTATTGAGGTCGTCCGAGTCTGACAATCTCGAGCTACTCCAGAAAATTTTTTCCATATTCAAATATTGTGATTATGAGCTTCCCACAAGTAATCTCAGCTCAAAAGGAGGTTTATGTGGAAGAAACAAATACAAACTTCTCAAGCCATAACATTGTTTTGTGTCACAAAATATTAAATTTGACTTTCATCACCTAAATCTTAAAACATATGTTGTCAGAGATTTTCTAATTTTAGTCAAGTTTCTCGTCATATAATCCTCTCAGAACACTGGGAATAATATATTGCATTACACCTATGACAGCTCAAGATAATACATCTATATATAACCACAAAGTTATCTAACCAGTAAATTGATTAACCGACACGCCTGCTTTTGATCACCAAAAAAGTTTCACTAACCAATTAACTTCGCTGTCTGGTAGAATTCAAAAGCTGTATGATCAAATCGCTTTATCTAAATAGAATGAGAATCCCTCTCCGGCCTTCTAACCAAAAAGGGCTCATTCTTTGGTAATATGACTTCTTGTGGAAAGTTAATGAGAAATTAAGTGCTTCCTGTTTGTATCACATATATAATGAAATGCAGGTCTCCAGACTGGGTTTTGGATGTGGGGGACTATCAGGAATTTACAATGCCCCTCTCTCACATCAAGCTGGGTGCTCAATTATTAAGGAAGTTTTCAATAAAGGCATAACCTTTTTGGATACATCTGATCTTTATGGAGATCAACATGATAATGAAATCATGGTTGGCAAGGTATTGCGCATTCTGCTAACTATCAACAATTTAATCTTAAATGCACTTAGTTGATACGAGAGAATACGTCCTTAAGATTGTCCAAAGAAAATATTTAATTCTGTGCTAAGCTTGGGAACACTTGTGACTAGAAGAACAACATAGAAAGGAAGATCATAGTGCTTAATATAATTTTAGAAGTGGCAGTGAATTATGCTGGTGCCCCATGAACTTGTTTAAGTATTTGTTTGTAACCATCATGGAAACAGAAAACTAGCTTTGAATATAATTTCATTTATATCCGAGAATGATTTACACTGAGGTCATTGCAACTTTCTCTACATTTGATGCCCTTATTTGTGCTTTTTCATCATGTAACCGGCTTTAAAAGAACTCCCTCGAGAAGAAGTCCAATTGGCTACTAAATTTGGTATTATTATGTCTGATGGGATGCAATTCAGTGTAAAAGGCACCCCTGAATATGCAAGAGAGTGCTGTGAAGCTAGTCTTAAACGACTTGATGTCAGTTATATTGATTTATACTATCAGCATCGAATCGATACTTCTGTACCAATTGAGGACACTGTAAGTTGTTGATGCATTTCTTCTGTTATGTGTAATACATAGCATTTTCACTATTTCTAATCTGTGGATGTTTGTATGGTTCACTGAACTGAACAAGGAAGATAGGGGAGCTTAAAAAGCTGGTAAATGAAGGGAAGATAAGATATATTGGGTTGTCAGAGGCTAATGCTGATACTATAAGAAGAGCACATGCTGTTCATCCTATCACTGCTTTGCAAATGGAGTATTCTTTATGGTCCCGTGACATTGAAGAAGAGATAATTCCACTTTGCAGGTTTTTTTAAAATACTACTTTTATCTTGTAGTGTGATTTCTATTCTGACTTTCTTAGATATGGTTTGAATGTAGTGATTATTTGCAAAATATCTAAATGGAAATTGTTGCAGTAAATTGCATTCACCTCCCTTGATGTTTTAAGATATGCACTCATATCACCAATAGTGGTTGGATTGGGTGGTAAGGGACTCAATACTTATTGATCATGGTTAAGAGTTCAGTTCTTGTGAATGGAAAAAATTACATTGGAAGAGCTTCTTCTATTTAGACCTCACAAAACTTGAATTTAATTTGGTATTAACAGATAACAAATTTGACTCTCACTTAATGGGACCTCCCTTCTATTAAGATAATCATTAGTTGAGCTAATACTATATGCACTTTGACTCCTTGAATGCTCCTTCCAATAGCCTTCTTCAGCGTGGCATAAATGGCTAAACTTATAGACTAATCTGTTGACTGTTATGGTTATTTAGTTTTAATTCCTTAAAAAATAATGACTGCATGATTCAGTCATTTAAGATAACAAATCCATTACGCTTCAAGCCTCTTGTTCTTTTTGGTTTTCTTAGGCTAAAACTAAGTAGACCTAACAATTGAGAAATCAATCTATAAGACTAATCCAAGCACAAATCATCAAGAGGCCAAGTTAATACTTATGAAAACTTAAAATTAGAGCGGCTACTGAAATATTTTATCATCTAGTCAAATGTTTAGTTATCTTAACTCAATTTTTTTTTTTTTAACTTGCAGAGAACTAGGAATTGGAATAGTAGCGTATAGTCCTCTTGGTCGAGGCTTTTTTGCAGGGAAGGCAGTAGAGGAAAGTTTACCAAGCCAAAGTTTATTGGTACAGTCCCAGTTTTAAGTTTGCATGAATTTGCAATAGGATGATACTTCAAGTGAGAAATGCCTATAAGGATAACTACAATTATATACTTGTATTCCTGCGGAGGATTGGCTTTTGAAATTTGGTACACCTTTTTTTTTTTTGGCTGTAATAGGCAATTCATCCGAGGTTCATTGGAGAAAATTTGGAAAAGAACAAGCTCTTTTATAAACGACTCTCTGATTTGGCTTCCAAGCATGCATGCACTCCTGCTCAATTAGCTCTCGCATGGCTTCTGCATCAGGGGAATGATATAGTTCCTATCCCAGGTAGAGTCACCTACGCACTTAACAAAATACCTTTCTTCTAATGAAAGAAAAAAGGTTAATTGTTTGGTTAAAGTTAGAAATATTAACCAAACTAACCATGAATCTCACTTGATTATGAAGTAATCTGTGCCTGAATTTCTAGGATTAAGTGGTCAATCTGAGCTTCCACTTAAGAGTCAAATAGTATTTGAATTTTATACAATATCAGAGTCTCCAACCAAGCAGTCAATTTAATCCTTCTCGCCTCCATGCCATGTGTATCCATATTAGTTGAACCAATAATACTCTTCAAATAAAAGTGTAAGCATTTGTCCCGTTGGGAGAGATGTCCGCATTTAGCACTTGACCATGCCTCAAACTTGATTGCTTCTAGTAGGAGAATTCATGTGAGCAATTAAAAAAAAAAAAAGTGTAAGCATTTGGGGACAAGGGTCTTTGAAGGTGTTATTTGGTTTTGGCATATTCATAGATATTTTTACCTATTTCTGTATAACTCTTTCATCAATTCATCCTCTTATAGTCTTATCTATCCGCTGCCTAATGGGCATTTCTGGACGAATAGTACCTTTAATCTTTGTTAATTATGATAATTTTTTTTTTTTTGGGGTAAATCCAAGATGTATCATTTCTGTTAATTGAGTTCTTCGTGATGAAATATTGCTTTGATACGATAGGGACAACGAAAGTCAAGAACCTTGAGAACAACATTGGATCTCTGACAGTTAAGCTTACAGATGAAGATGTGAGGGTAATTTCTGATGTAATTCCTGCTCATGAATTTGCTGGGGAACGAGAATATGACATGTTCTCAAAATATATGTGGAAGTTTGCAACTACCCCTCCAAAGCAATTGCAAGAGAAATGAAACAAACTTTCTTTTCCTTGTACACACCTAAGAAAATGAATTGTGGGTTTTGTTTGTTAAGATTTGGTTAAGAGTATTACTTCTACAGAATCAAACTTTACATGTCTGTTGTTTAAATGAACCAGAAATTGCAGTTGTGCATGTGTGTCAGACAACCTGGTTATAGTAACTCATGCCTGAATGAGATATATTTCGTGTATAATAACTCCATTTGTTTTTTATAAATAGGTCTAGATTTCCAATCCTTACATACATATATAATGTAAAAATTTTAACAAATTACAATATTCATAAGTTATAAATAATGTGATTCATTTCTTAGATTTCATGCAATGCATGAGATCAAAAATTTTTTACAGTGATAAATAGTCTACGAATTGGGAATATTATAGCTCATTTATCAGATTTGAAGAATAATGCATGAATAAATTGCATGGACATCACAAAATCTCATTCTAATGTGTTGTGAAAAAAATAGTTGTAAAATTAATAAATCACTGACCATTTCAAGATCATTTGAATAGTGAAACGTCACAAATTTAAGAGGATAAATTTGCACCAACTGGGTCACTTAATTTTTATCACATTTTTTTAAATGGATAGATGTATGAATATATGAATAGAAAGCGTTTGATTTGGTGAAATTTACACGTTAACTTTATATCTATCACTGTATTATTATTTATAATTTTTTAAAAGTGCTCATAATTTTTAAATCTCAATAAGAATAATAAATAAATCTCAATGAAATAGGCAATTGACAAAAGATTACTATGGAATGGGTTACTTTAAAGTTCTTAAGTACTTATCTAACATAATTTTTTGTACAATTATATTTTTGACATTCTACAAAATAATATAAAGCATTGTTATTAAAACTTAAACTAAAGTTGCTAATAAAAAAAAAAGTAAAGATATTAATGTAAGAAGTATAATTATTACAAAACAAAACTAAAATCATGGATAGTTATGTTGTTAGTATCTAAACTGAGGTTGTTAAGATGGAAACCTATTTGTTACTTATTATATAACTAAACTAATAACTACAATTTTTATATTAACAAATTTATCTTTTTATCAACAATGTTAGTTTAGGTTCTATATTTTCTATCATTTCAATAAAAGTTAGAAATGTAATTTTATAAAAGATTATGCCAAATAATTTTTAAAAATTTCAAAATAATTATTCTATTTTATGGTACTCTTATTATTTGCCTAGGGAATTTATTTATCTTTTTTCAATAAATATAATAAAAAAACGTTTATTAAAAGTGAGACGCAAAGTAATCATCATTTTCCCTGGTGGTATAGATTCCATCCAAAAAAAAAAAAAAACCCTTGTAGATTCCATTGCAGCTCCACACACAAACACACAAAGGCGCGCACTTACAAAAATACATTCCTATATGGGTGTCGACCTTTCGTTATGCTTTTGGTAGTTGGTGGAAGAAAATGACGGCCCTGATCGGCGCGCTCTCTCTTCTTTTTCAATGATTGGTTTAACATCTTCGCCAAGGCTCTGTACAATCGCTGAATCGCATATGGACAGCACTGAATCGCGAGTGCCCAGAGTCAAACTTGGTCGTCAAGGCTTGGAGGTAACCTTCATTCCTGCTTCAATACTGTATTGTCGAAACAGAGTTCCGAGCTTTAAACAGTCAATCCTATTTCGAGATTTTGAGTGTTTTTCACTGTTTTTTAGAATTGATTGTTATTTGCTATGATTCAACACGAAGTGGATCATAAAATTTTACTTTCTCCAGAATCATCCATAGCTCAGAGCTTTGCGTGAGAATGCTTGAAGTCGATTGTTTCGAAAATTAGGGGTTTTCTCGAGCAAACTACAGGCCTTGATATTATATGTAATCAGTTTTAATGTGCGTGCGTGCGTGCGTGCGTGTGTGTAGATTGGTGGACAGTGTCACTTTCATTGTTGAATGGCTCAGTTCTAATGCTTTTTTTTTTTTAACCAGAAAAAGGATAATCATTAATCGAATAAACAAAGTGAAGCCATGAGCCAGTGGCAAAGGCATACAAAGTAAAAGAGAGAAACTACTAAACTAGCCTATTCCTTCACGGTCCCGGTCCATTGTGGCATCAGATTGCAGGGATCTGTTGAGAGATATTGAGTCCTTAGAGATAATGGCGAGAAGAGAGGGTGATGGGTCAAAAACCCAACCAGATGGTTCCACCCCCTTAGATGCAGTGGCTGCAAGAAAATATGCGGCGGCGTTCCCTGATCGTTTGACCAGAGAGAGATGAAGCGATGAGAAGGACTCCAAGGATTCCAATAGCTCAGCCAGTAGATTATGCCAAGTCCAATTGCAGCGATCCCCTCCATTGGATGATAAAGCTTTGTGTAGTTATTGACAGTCCAGCTCAAGTATAAATGGTTGATGGATAGATTCTGTCATGAGTAATAAGGCTTTCTTGCAAGCAAGAACTTCAGCCATGAAGCCTGATGAAGCTTGAACAGATTCACACCAACCTTAGATAAATGAGCTATCTGATGACCTCCATATTATTCCTGTACCAGAATTTCCTGAAGAAGCCAGAAAAGATCCATCACAATTGACTTTGATCAAACCTAATGGAGGAGGAGACCATGTGCTTGGAGTAAAAACAGGGCTTGTATAGTGAGGCTTATCAATAAAGTTGGCTGACCAGTAATCCCATGTAGCAGCATCCGTATGAGAATGAGAGACCACCTGAAAAGGATCAATGACTGCACCAGCGAAGATTGAGGCAGATCTCATCTTCCAGATGTTCTAACATAGGTTAGCAATGTATGTCTTACCATAATCATCTGTGTAGTTTTCGCTCATGAGTAGGGCATAACACGAACGATCAAAGGAGGTGATGTCAGCAACATTAATGGCGATAGTGAGATAACTCCCATACCATGCCTGTCTAGCCCAATCACACAACAGGAGGAGATGTTCAATGAACTCAGGGTAATTATGGCAGATTGGGCATAAAGGATCTACAGCACATTTTTGATTATACAATGCCTCTTTAGTGGCAAGCGCATCATTGATTACTTGCCACATAAAATGCTTGACCTTCAGTTGTTGTTTTAGATGCCATAGGCCCTGCTAGATATCATGGGGTAGAGACGCGGAGGAGCTTGTAGATGCACTAACAAGTTGTGGGGATTGAGCCACCAATAATCTGTAACCAAGCTTGGCCGAATAAGTACCATTGTTAGCAGCAGCCCACGCACCAGTATCAATAATCGAGTTCATTGGAATTGGAATTTTCAAAATGTGAGTGATAGTTTCAGAGGTATAGGAGGTTGAAATGGGTGTTAAATTCCATTGACCTCGTGAAATCAGATTAAAAACCTTTAGGGTTTTATAAATTACAGCACCTACAACAGGGATAGCTTTGCAGTTTGGTGAGGCAGGAATCCATGGGTCCTCCCACGAGCTAATGTCATTACCATTTTCAACTTTCCAGCAAAAATCTTTCAACAACATGTCTCTACCCGGAAGCAAGCTACTCCAAGCCCAAGAGGCTTTTGGACCATGTTCAGCAGCGAGAAAAGACCTGTTAGGGAAATAGATGCTTTTTAATACCTTTACCCAGAGCTGATCAGGGTTGGTAAGAAGTCGCCATGCAGATTTGGCTAGAAGGGCATCATTAAATTTCATGAAATCTCGAAAACCCACCTTCCATCTTTTTTTGCCTTACAGAGCTTATTCCAAGCCTTCCAATGGATACTGTTTCGACTCATGAAGTACTAATGCTTGAGTTTTAATATCTCAGTCTTTGATTATATTAGCCCTTATGAAAAACGGACAATAAATGAAGCGCTGCCTGTTTATGCCATATTTATCTAATGCAGGTTTCTGCAGTGGGTTTTGGATGCGGAGGATTATCTGGAGTTTATAATGCCCCTCTTTCACATGAAGCAGGATGCTCAGTTATTAGGGAAGCATTCAGTAAGGGTGTAACCTTCTTTGATACATCTGATGCTTATGGAGATGAACATGATAACGAAATCATGGTTGGCAAGGTATTTCATATTACTTTCCTACTCATATTTTTTTTTTCATTTTTAACTATGGTCCCTAAATTAGATTATTATTATTGTGTGGTCAATGAATTTAAACTGGGACTACATAAATGAAGCCAGCTGTTAAAATAGTTTATTCAATTATAAAATAGTATCAAATTCAGATATTCATAAAATTACGTGTATGATATATTATAAATTATTAACATCGTTTTAAGTTTGACAAAAATCCATTTAACTCATTAATCCCATATGGTTCATTCATGTATAATCTTAAGCAAACTTTTCACGAGCCTGGCCCTAGATTTCATTCAACTAAACAAGGTGAGGTCAAACAACTTGTTTCTTAAATGAGCCAGGCTTAAGAATGCCAGGGCTCAGCTAATTTATACCCTTAACTCTACTGACATTTACTAGTGCCCAATGTATTTGATTATAACTGATTCGTAGAGGCAATCATTTAATGGGAAAATATAAGATTTGTTGAATGTGTATTTGAGAGTGTAATATACTCGGGTCAATGCAGTACGTTTTATGTACTTACTGAAACATTTTCATCATATTCCAGGCTTTAAAAGAACTGCCTCGGGAAAGAGTTCAACTGGCTGCTAAATTTGGTATAGTTGTGTCTGAAGGGATGCAATTCAGCATCAAAGGCACGCCTGAATATGTAAGGGAGTGCTGTGAAGCTAGTCTTAAGCGACTTGATGTCAATTATATTGATTTATACTATCAGCATGGAATTGACACTTCTGTGCCAATTGAGGACAGAGTTTTTAGGTGCATCTGTTCTTGTACGAGCAATGCATACCTTTCCTCTACTTCTAAACTGTGAATGCTTGTGCTGTTTATACTGACCACATTGGGGAAGATAGGGGAACTTAAAAAAAAAATGGCAAATGAAGGAAAGGTAAGATACATTGGGTTGTCAGAGGCTAATGCTGATACTATAAGGAGAGCACAGGCTGTTCATCCTATCACTGCTCTACAAATGGAGTATTCCTTTTGGACCCGTGAAATTGAAGAAGAGATTATTCCACTTTGCCAGGTTTGTCGCATACTGATTTTGATCTTGCAGTTTGATTTGTTTTCTATTTGTTTATATGTGGTGTCGAGTCAGATTATCTGCAAAACATTTCAAATGAAATTGTTAGGCATTCACTCCCCTGAAATTTTTGGAATTACACTTACATCTCTGATTTTATTTTACACATAAACCTCCTCTCTATTATCTTTGAAGTTTGTGAAATTCAATGGAAATTGATAGCATTTTTCATCATATATAAATTTTTATCGTGTATATGTAAAGAAAGATGAGCGTAAAGAATTAGTATTTTGCATTGAACTTCATGATCTCCAGAGGCTCAAACTAGATTAATAAAGGAACCAAATTATTAGTTTGGTGTATATCACAAATTATTGAAAGGCCAAATTAATACGTATAAAAACTTAAAATAGGAGAGGCTAGTGTGATATTTATAGAACTAGTCAAATTATTAGTTATCGTACTTAATCCTTTTTTTCCACTTGCGGAAAACTAGGGATCGGAATTGTGGCATATAGCCCTCTTGGTCGAGGCTTTCTTGCAGGGAAAGCAGTGGATGAGAGTTTGCCTAGTCAAAGCCATTTGGTATGCATCCAGTTTTAAGTTTGCAAGAATGTGCACTTGTAGGATCTTTACAATGAAAGGAAAATGTTTATAAGAATGTGTAGATCAGTTATATACTTTTGATATATTGTTTCTGTAACAGGCTACGCATCCAAAGTTCAGTGGAGAAATTCTGGAATTGAACATGTTATACAAACGATTTTCTGACTTGGCTTCTAAACATGATTGCACTCCTTCACAGTTAGCTTTAGCATGGCTTCTCCATCAGGGCAATGATATAGCTCCTATCCCTGGTAGTGTCACCCTACACTTAAAGCATTTCAATTTTTTTTTTTTAATTTTGGTTTGTTATGGATGTTATGAGTAAGCTTTAACTTGATGGTTCATGATATGACTTCAGCATATTTATGGCCAGGCGTCCAATGTAAGCCTTTGCTTAACAGTGAAGTATTTGACCTGATGTCAGAATCTTATGACCAAACAATCAGGAATGTCAATCTCCTTAACATAAATTTATAGTGGGGCTATGTTTTGCCCGCTTCAATCTCATAGGCAGTAAATATATTAATGAAATCAATCATAGGCCTTTACTTGATGGTTTGAGTTATTTGCTGTCTTCTGCTGTTGATTCATGAGTTTTTTGTCTTACATGCTTAACACAATTCTACCAATTGACTTTTCTAGATTTCTCATACTTATCTTAAGCGTTGCCAACCGATGAAGTGAAAAATAGGATATCTATGTATAATATAAGAATTCTAACAAGTCATACTTCTTCATGAGCCATAAGTTATAAAGCATCGATGCTTTAAATTGTCTAACATATCTGTATCAATATTGTATCCAATATCGATACTCACCGATACTTTTTTAATACGTATCCATAAAATATTAAAATAATATTTTTTTAATTTTTTAAAAAAATTAATTTTTAATATGTATCTGATACTTTTAGATTGTTAATCAATACTTGAAAAATAAAAATATTAAAAAATTAAATTTATTAAAACTTGTACTATTAAATTTTTTTATTACTAATATCATTTTTTGATTTGTTTTCAAAGTCAAAGATTAGATTTTTCTTAAAAAAATAAGTTTTGAATGTAATAAAAAAATAAATATTATATTTTTTTAATTATAAAAATGTGAAAAATGTAATCTTATGATAGTCGAGAAAGAAATGTTGATACTATCCCTGTTAATAGGGACCATGTGGTAGGCAATTAAGTATAGATAAAATAAAAATATAATTAATGATTATATTTTACTTGATATTATTATAAATGATTATATATGTATGCTAATTTAAATATTTTCTGAATTAAAATATTTTTATAAATATACATGCACGTATCAAAAATGTATTATATATTATATTTTCAAAAATTAAAGTATTAACGTATTGAATATGACACGTACCAATATATGTCCTAACATATGGTATTGCCTTTTACTTGATCAAGACTCACCCTCTCACTCGGGAGGAAGAGGGTTTCTCCACTTTTTTTCTTTCATTTCTTCAATCCTTATCATTTGAATTATTTTATTAAATAATTTTTTTAAATGATAAATTTAATAAATGATGAGGATGGAAAAAATGAAGGAAAAAGAAGTAAAGAGATCCGAAATCCCCCTCTCTGTTTCTCCATCACACACAAATATGTTAGAGATGTTAATAACAATTAAGAAGAAAGACAAATCTGATCACGTGCCTTGAAGAAGAAAGCAGGTATGGATTGGTTTACTTTGAAGACTCTTTTGGAGATATATACTGCTTGAAGGCACACCACCAACCTCATTGACCCTTAGTTAGGAAGAAAGTGAGAAAGAGATAAACATGACGTTAATTACTTCCTTCAATTATTTTTATAGAGCAGAAAAAAAAATTATTTCAATTATAAGTTACAACATTAAATTTTTATTATAAATTTTTCTTTTATCTTCAATTGAATATTGAAAAGAAATAATATATTGTTAATGTCTCTAAATTTAATATAGACGAAGTTAAAAAATTATTAAATTTTTAAACAGAGCTAATGGGATTTAAAATTTTTCTTGATACCGGTGAGACATATTTAAAATGACTTATAAGCAAATGAGTATATTTCTTTAGGTGTAAAAATTAAATTTTAAAGACATGAAACCTCCATTAACTACTAGAATTTGTAGTTTTGAGGCTTTGAATACCTAAAACCTCCGTTAACAACTTTACATAATGATGACAAAAAATATTTTCATGTATTATTAGGACATTTTTAGTTCAATTTGGAGTCATCTAAGTATTTTTGAGAGAAAATGAAACTATTATTTAAGAAAAAGGAAAGAAAATTACTTTTAAATATGAGAAGGGATACTTGATAGTATCTTATTGAAATGAATGGATTAAGCTTTTCTTTTTACTTTCTTCTTCATTTTAATGTATTATTTGTTCCCTTTTGCTGTTTCCAAAAGTATGTGTGGCTGATTATCTTTAAATCTAGAGAAACTATAAACCTATTGATGGATTTGACTCTTTTTTACCCATTACTTAAGATTAATGTTGATTTTGATTACTCAATCTTATGTTTTAACATCTATTCAATGCTTGGCCAATATTAAATATGATTTTAGGTTTTGAAATTTTTCCTTGACAAAAGGGAATTCCATTTGAACTATTGAATTGAGTTATATGGGATTAAATTTTATTTAATTTGTAATTAAAATTAACATATACTTAATTGCCCCGTATAATCATTGTGATGTATTATTGGTTTGAATTGCCTCTTGAATACTTGTGTTAGACTTAACACAATAAATTTGAGAGAGGGTTATTAATAGATTAAATGACCCTAATAACTATTAAAACTCTCAATTAACGAAGGAAAAATAATAATTAAGAATCTTCTAAGAACATTAATCTCAATTACGGATCATAAAATTTTAAAATTTTAGTTAAGGATCATGGTTCTTAATTGTGATAAAAAAAGATAATTTGTATGGTGGGATTCATTAACGCTACTTGGGGATTCACTAACCTAATTTGAGAAAATTACTAACGTATATTATGAAAACATGAAATCCCACTTGAAAATTGATTATTTAACAAAAACCTCCATTTGAAAATTCACTAACCTGACTTAAAAAAATTTCTAACGTATATTGTAAAAATATAAAACTCGATTTGAGAATCGAATGTTTAACAAAAAGCACAACTTGAGAATTCACTAACTAGACTTGAAAAAATTTTTAAGGTATATTGTAAAAAAAATATAACCCTACTTGAGAATTAATTGTTTAATAAAAAGTGACTTGTCCAAATTGATGTTTTTTTATTAAATAATTGATTCCCAAGTGAAGTTTCATGTTTTTACAATATATGTTAAAAAAATTTTCAAGTTAAGTTAGTGAATTCTCAAGTGGTACTTTTTGTTAAACAATTAATTTTCAAATGAGGTTTCATATTTTCATAATATACATTAACAATTTTCTCAAGTTGGATTAATGAATCTTCAAGTGGTAATAATAAATTCCATCTCACAAACTATATTTTTTATCACAATTAAGAACCATGGTACTTAATTGATATTTTAAAATTTTATAATCCGTAATTGAGATTAATATTCATAAAAGGTCCTCAATTGTCATTTTCCTATTAACAAAATTGGCTTTGAACTTAATTAATTGAGTTAAAATGGAGTCTAAGAAGTTATAGGAGATTAATAACTATTGATTGCTTTTCTCAAATGATTATTAGATTTAAGCATTTCATTGCATTTTTATTAAATTTAATTTTAATTTTGATTAATCAATCAATTTCAATGAGCTTTGCTTGACATAAACAAAAATGAAAACTTTATTACATAACTATTATTTTGCTTGATTTCTCGTGAGATCGACCTTAAAAGATTATTATATTGCATATTGATTCTAACACTTGATACATTTTTGTGTGCATCACATGAACCAAAGAAGTTGTGGATGGGTGTTGTTTACTTGGGGAAAATAGCCAATGCCTTCGATAAAAGCTCTTATATTAAGGATCATGGGAGAGTTGCTTGTAATAAGAACTTGAGGAAGCAGTTGCCAACTCCAAGTGAATTTCACAACTCGTAAAAGACATTTATCTTGCTCACATAAAATAATATGTTCATAATCTAATTTCCCCACCTTTCTTTCTTGTCTACTCATTCCTCTGGAAATATCTCTTCAAAGCATACCAAACTCTTTTTTTTTCTTTTATTTTTTTGGGGTGCAATTTACCTAACTTTTTTTTTTTTAAATACATTAGAAGGGGACAGATACAGGGTCAAAAGAAACAAGTGTCCGGCAGCACATAAATTTTGTTCTTTGCAACTTCTCAAATTCCTATTTAAACATATAAACTCACGAATCCACTTTTAAGGAAAAAATGGGTGAGAAGATATACATACCATTTGAGTTAGGAATGTAGAAATTCTGATCCAACGATATATAACTAGCAAATTGTTTATTCTTGCAGCTCTATGGTAATGATTTAAGCCAACTGCATTTTGGGTGTTTGAAAATACACATTTTACAGGGAAGTAATCATTTGTTAAATGTCAAGTGCTTGGGTGTATTAATCGTGAACAACTGAAATTTAAAAAAGAATTACTTGTTGAGGTAAAAGTAAAACAACTCAAAAGCGAAAGGGGAAAAAAGGGTAGAAAGATGGAGCTAAAGAAAAAAAGGATTGTCTGCCCATAACATCGCACATGAAAGCTATTTTGTACCTAGCAATTTGGCTTTTTCCTAATTCAATGCTGAAATAGTCACATGTGGCTCTCTGTACTTCGCTTTGTGCTAGTAACTATTACGCAATCCATGTGATGTGAGACAGAGTACCCCATTTAAAACCTTAATATTAGAAGCCATTTTTAGGGGAGATTCATTGGGAGTGAATGCCAAAAAAGAAAAAGGAAAACAGAAAAAGTGCCAGATTTTTTTTTTTTAAGAAAAAAGCATTGGATGCACAATTTTCCCTTCCCCCCTCCAATTTGCCAATAATCAATCCCATGAGCTTAATCAATGTTGATTAAGGTATACAAACATTGAAGTTTAGTGCACGAAAAAAATGTTTTCCAAAAAGAAAATTGAGAATATATGTATCAAGAAAGAAAATGGAATAAACACTTTTTTACTTACCACAAGCGATGCTGATTAGGGTGCATTACATTACTAAGGTAAACAAACACCAACCCATACACAATCCTCTTTTCCCCCTTTCACGATTTGCCAGTAATCACTCCCCTAAGTAAGGAACCAACTTGTAATGCGGATTAGGAGTTAAGTTATCTTGTTGAATCCTCTTAATTATGTTATTATGTGGTGAATCTCAGGGGAAAAAGTGAAGTCCATTGAATAAAATCCATGCATTGATATTTAATTATTCATTGTGGAGGTTCAATGTATTCAATTCTTGCACATCCCTCTCCACCAAAGGTGGTTGAGGCAGAATGCATTTTTTGCGCATAACAATTAAATCAGTTTTGTTTTGAAGTAAGGCTTGGTTAATGACTTAATGTAACAGTAAAGACAGCTACATTACTTTATTTTATTTTATTTTAAAAAAGAATACATGTTGAACTGAGAGTTGACTTCGATGCTATAAAAATATGCAGGGTAACTTTTCAAAAATATAATCGATTTCGAAGTAGTTATATGATATTTTCAGAACAAAAATAATATCGAGTATAAATTATACAAATACTTAAAAACATAATGTAACTTTTTTTTTTGGATAAAAACTCACTCTAGTTATTAATTGGAAAGAATGTTAATACAGTATAAGTGAGTTTTTTTTTTTTTGCCTGTACAGTATAATTGAGTTAGAAATATTTAACTACAGGTCAACAAAAGTTAAAAATATTTAATTGCTTAGTTAACTCCGATTATCTATGGTTAAAAAAAAAAAGGTACCTCCAATTATCTATAGGCCAATGCAACGCCTGAAGCAATTGAAGTCTGCACGCTCCAAAGTCTGCAGCCATAGGACTCAGGAGAGTCCCCTGGCTTCCCCCATTCCCCCCCCCCCCCCAACAAAACAAAAAAAAAAAAAATCACTTCGCTTATATAATAATGATTGGATAATATTTTTAAAATGAAAATAAAATATGATATTTTCTCTCCCTTGTATCATTTAATTTTTTAATTTGAACTCTGTTCAGCTTCAATATTATGCGCAATGCACAATGGTCATAATAAATAAAAATATCATAGCGTGTCTTGAAAAAGAATGCCAAATGTAAGTCAGATATATTTAAAACAAAAAAAAAAAAACAAGAAGGTAAATTTATCCTGACTTTCCAAGTGCTAACTGTAGAGAATTTTAATTAATACACTATAAATGCATTAAAGAAGTTTTGTTTTTTCAATTAATTAATTAAAATCGTACCTCCAATTATGTGGAAGCTAATGGAACGTTCTAGTGTCGGCCTAACCCAAAGTCCTTAACGCTCCAAGTGTGCAACCATTATGAACCTCAGATTCACTGAGAAGCACCTCCTGGTCCATAAGAGAGCCACGCCTCTTGCTTTTTCCATGTGTGGACAAGCTCATCCACGTGAACCAATGACCTTTAGGACCCCGATACCTTATGACGTGGAACCAAAATATCCACCACCCTCTTGCACCCTCTTTTCTATATAAGCACACTCACTTCATCTGGCATTTGCAGATTGATCAAACGGAGCTCCTATACCAGAGATAAAGTAAATCGTTCCAACCCGGAAAATCTCTCTTTCCAATTAGATATGTCTGCCTCGTATGCCATTCAATCTCTCTTGGCGAGCCCTGTTTCTCGCCTTTCTAACAGGTCCAGGGTGAACCAGCTCGGCCTTCCCGCAACATACATACCAACCTTGCGCAGGAATGTTAGCCTTAGAGTTCGATCCATGGCTGAGGTATTGGTTTGCTCCCACTCTCATCTCCTGATAATCATGAATATACTTATGTGTTACAAGATATTCAACACAAACAGCGATAACATAGTCTTGATAATATTCTAACTAATGATCTAAGTAGAATTGTCTCGTAAACGTGGGAATTGTGGTACTTACTCTTTCATGTCATTGCTACTTATTTTCAGGAAGAAATGAAAGAGAAGGCAACTCAGACAACCTCTTCTCCATCACCCAAGAAGGTGAGCTTTAGGTGAAACAGTTTTCTCCTTAAGTATCTGCGAATGAGTATAGTTTCCCTTTCATCCTGAAGAATGTAGTTTCAGATTCCTGAGAATTTTTTTTCCCCGACACTACGTAACTAATAATACACGTAATATAAATCGTAACAATAATCAAATACTCCGAATTGAAAAATTTCGGCCAGTTGAAACGATAATTTGCTCACTCTGCTTCGAATAATACATGTTTTGGTTCCAAATATGCTAGAATTTTTTTTTTATTTGTATAATTATGTATATAAAACGACAAATTCTTGATATACTGGCAGAGATTGTAACACGAGACAAAAGCTTCGCCCATGCGGTCCTATCTAAAGCTGTAAAAACCCGATTAGTTTAAACGAAATATAAATCCTGATCATAATTTTCCACCTCCTATATTTCTGTCAGTGATTTTTTGCAATATAAGATCTGACCTTGCTAGATGATATAAACTGATCACCGTAAATAGAAGCAGGTGAGCACGAAATTCTCGGACGTGTTAGCCTTCAGCGGACCAGCACCGGAGAGGATCAACGGGAGATTGGCGATGATAGGGTTTGTGGCGGCAATGGCGGTGGAAGTAGCGAAAGGGCAAGACGTATTCGCTCAGATCGCCGACGGAGGCATTCCGTGGTTCTTGGGGACAAGCGTCGTGCTATCTCTCGCATCGCTGATTCCATTGTTCAAAGGAGTGAGCGTGGAATCGAAATCTCAATCATTCATGTCTTCCGATGCAGAGCTCTGGAATGGAAGATTCGCGATGCTTGGACTAATTGCACTAGCTTTCACTGAATATGTCAAAGGAGGGAGCCTTGTGTGATTTTACTTGCATTTACTTGAAATTATCATATTAGTTATCAATTAAATTTTAGGAATATGAAAACTTTCTGAAGCCATGTTTGTTTGACTATCTGCTCAACCAAAAGGAATGGAAAAAAAAAAAAAAAAAGTTGCTGTTTGTAAATTGTAATTACTATTACCAGTACACTAAGTCACTGGATTTATTACTCTTCTACTAAATACGTGTCCATGTTGAAGCCAAGCTAATTCCTTTATTATTCCATGAAAATAGAAGGTAGGAAAATCTTTTTAGCCGAAAAATGACGACAATAAAAGTTAAAATTTTTAAATGCAATAATTTCGTAGGTTGCCGAAAAAGAAAAAAGAAAATGCTACTAAACGAATTTTTAGATAACATTATTGTTCTCAGCATTTAACAAAAAGATATTATACTAGTAATTTAGTTAGAAAGGCTAGTAATTAGTAAACTCAATTGAACCAAGCAAATACATTTTCAAATAAATTTAAATTGCAACATCAATCTAATCTCATCCTTGACGGACGAATTAAATTATAACGATAATAATAAATTATTTAAAAATATAATATTAACATTTTTTATGAGCCCAAAAAGTTGTGTTGAAAACTTCACCAATCAATTTATCAAAGGAAAATGGGCCGTTTTCAAAGAACTAAAACCATTGATAAAAATATTGACAGTGCATTTTGATACTTTAAATATACTTTTTATTGAAGAAACATATGTTTTAATGTTACATGTGAAATTTTTATGCACACACACATACACGTAAGTGTACGCTTATGTCATGTCCCAATTTCAACCTCTCTAGCGTGACATTTTTTTTCCAAAAAAAAAAAAAAACAATTGACAACATTTCATATTACTTCTTTATAATAACGCCTTCCTTTTTCTCTCTCTCTTTTTTTTAATTTTATTTTAGCCTTCTTTTTTTTTTATGAAAAGGATTTAGCCCTCTTTTATGAGTTTATATGATTATGAAGCACAAGATGGACGCATCAAAAAAATGAGAAAACTTATATATTTAATTTCATACTTACGATACCTGTTTATAATTAAATTAAAATATATAAATATTTTATAAATTATTTATTCCATAACAAACTTTTGTTATTAATATTATTAATACATTAAATTTCATAAATCTTGATTTGATTATATATAAATATATTGAATATGACTAAATACATAAATTTTGCCTGAAAACACAGAAAATGTGCCCACAAAAAAAAACAAAGAAAAAAACAAAATGTGCCACTTCAAATAGACAAATACGACAACAAGATATGCATCACCATCACTTATTTATTACACGTATACCTCGTTTTCTTTTTCATAATAATGAAATGAACCTCTACACTCACAAATTTATGAACAGAAAAGAATAAGAACATCATCAGCACGTATATCTCGATTTCCCAACTACTTGTTATGTACAGATAGAGATATTCGCCAACAAAACTAACTCATGATATTATTATGGCGAACTGGCTATGGATCAACCTGATACGCTGGCCTCTCAAGATCCCCGTTTGGAAGTGTGCTTGCCTCCACTCCATCCGCATGTTCCTGAAACAAGTCGATTTTCCCATTACAACTCAATCATCAAATCTGGCTATTAACTCAACTCAATCATTCACACCTAATATGAGATCAACCGAATTTCAATGTCTACTATAGCTTAAAAGGATAAAAAATTAAGAATAGAATAAAATAAAGAAATTAAAAAAAAAAAAAAGACAACTAAATTGCTTTTTCACCTCATGGTAAGCTTGATAAAATCTAATAACACATACCACAAATATAAGAATCACATCTTCCACAAATCTTATAAATGATGACTCTCAACCTCGTGAATTAAATTACTCTTCTCCCTAATGAACATGATTCACTTTTCTCTCATCCACATCTTGATTATTCTATTTTTATTTTTATTACTTTAATCCATTTCATTCTCTTCCTTTCTAGTAACCAAATAGACCCCACATGCTTCCACACTACATCTCTACATCAAGTCTAAATGCTGCACCTATAAGTAGATGTTGCATGTTGTAAAATATAAAACAGACCTGAGCTGTTGAATAATTTAAATCATCCCTCTCCATCTGATTCATAAAATCTATTTGATTATCACGCTGTTCGATGGGTTACATTAGACAAGTATCACCACAAAATGCATTAAACTTTCCAATTCGGCAGACAAACTAAGAGCACACTGGACCATGACCAACAGAAATATTGAATTCAATGCAGGGGAAGAAAAATAGAGTGAGGAGTGAAAACCAATTAAGTGGATCCCATCTATTCTATGTATTTGAAAAGACAAAAATGGTATCCAAGTGTGCATAGAGTCCACTTATTCTCTTTCTACCCATCCTTATTTTGTTCCTCAATTTCCCTTTAATTGCATGGAACTTCCACTTAGTTCCCACCTATATATCGCACAGAATGCTGAGATAATATTTCAATAACCAAATCAAATGCTAAAACCATGTAAACATTGTAAAGAAACAAGCCATTCATTTGCTAAATGAGTAGCATAAGAACTGCATGTGATATGTGCATCAAACAGAAATTTGGATACGTACTTCCGCAGGAAGATCAACTGGGAACAAATTTATTGCTGCTGCGTTGAATGTGAATCCGCTGAAGACATAATTAATCGCTCGCATCAGTTACATGTGCATAAATTGAGGAAAAAAGTAGGTAGGAGGGAAATGGAAAAAGCTTATAATCACTAATCAGCAACAGAATCTCTTTGTGAGTAACTAAATCCCTCAATGGAGGATATTTGAACCCTTCATGAAGATTATCCAAGTCTGGTACTATAATAACCAACACATTGAACTTAGATGCAGAATAGAAAAAAGTTAGGTTCCTACGCAAGTGTGAATATATTAGACAAGTTTCAAACTGCAAGAGAAGTAAATAAATTCAACAGGTCATGAGAACATGTGGATAAGAAGTGGAAGAAATCATACCATCGGGATAAGACTAGCTGCCAGACATAAGGAGTAAAAAATTCCTCTGGATGACTCTCTTGTTCATATGTGAAGCGCAGTTGAGTAAACATCTGCTAAAAACATATAGGCTACGCTTCATGTAAACCACAAAAGTAATGCTCGTCGAGATAATTCTCTTCACAAGTAAGCAACAAATTAGATTTTTTTTCTTTCTCATTTTACCTTCATCCCTTCACCACGCCAAGATCGACAATTGACAATTATCACCTGAAGCACTTCATTGACTGACCAGTCACCATCCCCTCTTTGAGCATCCATACGACTATTGAAAAAATCCAACACCTGCAATCATCATGTTGAGTACATTGTTCAAACATTGGAACCATGATGTATTATGCAAAGATGAGTTTCGCAAATGCAACAGGAGACAAGTGAATCTTTCTCCAGTAAAGAGTTTCAAGCTTTTCAAAAGGACGTATGTATGATGAAGATTTAATAAAACATATGAAACATACAGTATAAATGTTGTCAAGCAGCTCATTGAAGCGTGGATGATTCTTAAATGGCAGAAAAACTTCTTGCCTGTGCATTATTGCATATACTACCTGCCCCATACAGATATGAAATAAGTATCTACAGGTAAATAGTGTAGACTAAAGGAACCAAATCAAAATAGATGGCATAGAATCTACAATCAATCAAATCATACCTCAGGATTCTGAGGCAGGGCATAACTCAAGATAGCATTTATGATTTCAAGTACAAGCCTCAAGAAGTCGGTATAAATTTGCAATTCAGTTGACTGCATTGAAAGACAATACGATTTACCGAAAGGAATATTAAGTGAAAATAACTGGAACCACAAAAAGCAAAGAACAAAGCATATACCATATCTTCCATGAGGCCGTTTCCTTCAACTGAGTTGCCATTTCCAGTATGAAGTTTATTATGTCTGAGATCTGCTAATTTGTTATACCTAATGAGAAGCAATGATATGATCACAGTTACGCCAGAAAAAATAGAAGCTACTCTTGAATATATAAATATAAATATGGAGATAGTACAGTATAAATGACAAGAGCTGTGACATACTTGCGTGATAGCATATCAAAAAGTCCGACTAGTCTCTGTGATGCATATGCACTCAGACGGTGGACATGAGGCGCCATGTTTGCCAAAGTTGCTAAACATGTTGTATGGAGATACACATCCTATCATATTCAAGGCACAACAGAATGATTTTTTTCCCCTCTATCCTTCCTTCCTCCAATGCAAAAAAGTATAAAATCATAATATAGGAAACCTTTTCTAAGACTGAAAGCACCAATACATGCCAATTGGTACATTATGCAAATAATTACTATTTTCAATAATGAGTATCTAGTTGCCATACAACAACAACAACAACAAGCCTTTATCCCACTAGGTGGGGTCGGCTACATAGATTGCAAGACGTCATTGTGCTCTATCATTTATCAAGCTTTTAAGAATATTATTAATTAAGAGATCGCGTTCAACAACTTCCAAGAGCGTTCTCTTAGGCCTTCCTCTACCTCTTTTAATCGGACTCAAAGTTATATGTTCAACTAATTTAATTAGTTGATGGCAACTAGATACTCATAGTATCTAGTTGCCATCAACTAATTAAATTAGTGGACGGATGCAAATTCAAAACTAAACATCTACTCTCTCCAGTCCTCAATATAGGCTACCTTTTAGAAGTTTTGTTTGGTCCTTAATATAAAACACCTTATAAAACTTGATAAAGCATTAATGAATTACTGCCAAAAATGGCTACATATCCAATTGGTTCATTTGGGTGGCATGTTTGACTTCAAGATTTAAAGGTAAAATTAAGAATTTATATTAAGGATAATTTGGGATTCCTACAGTTTTTTTTTTTTAAATCAAGACTTTTAACTAATTTTAACCACTTTTCTTAATCTGTGAGATTTGGTAAAAGTGTATTATAAATAGGACTGAAAGGAGTATTCCATACTGATTTTATTCTTTTTCTGCATAAGTGGGGTAAGGGAAGAAATCAGGACAAAAAATATTTTTCAGTTAAATACATGCCAAATAAGAGACTGGGTTTTCTTTGAGCATGAATGAAAAGATTCTATTATTAGAGACGTAATTCAGATTAGGGAAAGAACTACAATTGAAAAGCTATGCAGAGAT